TCATCATTTGGTTTCGACGACGATGTCTACACCACTGTATTGGCCTGGAAAGTAACTTTTTCTATCCGATAGGAAATACGCTGCTGTTTCCTTCACACGTGATCTTTCCCGCGAACGCCAGCAAATATACTGTTACTTGGCTGCGGCGATCCTAGAAGTGTACTTTTTACAGTCTACAATGAACATGACGGAAGTGGTGCGTGCAGTTGGGCAGCCCTTTCGTTTAATTCACCTCCAATATCCTCATATCTATTAGACCGCCGATTGGATATCACTTGCAGCGATATTGACCCTGCAATTATAGGTACATTCTTCAATCGGATCCACAGTCTTCCCGCTTAAAGATATGATAGCGAGAAACATACTTCTTCTGACCATGATTGTCGATAACCGCAACCCTTCCTCGACAATATGGAAGATTTTTTTTGACATGAAGATTGACCGTGACACCCATTCGATTCTGCGTGCCCATTGTGAAAAACTCTACCAGCACTCAGTTAGCCAGGAGGCTTGGGCAGGCTCACCGTATGCGGCTATAATCAAATTCTCTACATTTTATACGTTGCAGGAAGCCCATCGCCACTGGGGACTCTATGTTGAAATGGAGAGGGTTCCCGCAGATAGGCAAAAGTCCATTCGTGATGCTTTCAAGAAGCAAACTGAGGATACTTTGTCTCCTGGGGCACGACCAGCTGGACCCCTCATGCCCAGTGCCGACTCTGTCTATGATGAGTGTATGAAGCGCTATTCCGCTTTGGAGTCTGTGGTTCAACTGTGTCGGCTTCTATGATCAACCCAACATTCGCCTACTCTTTTGTAGGTGAAGGATGCAATGTCATTATACTACCTTGCCACTCACACCATTTCATTCTGCCGCACTTTTTGGGAATGCGACTAAACCACCACGCATGAATGAAGTTATACAATCAGCTCAACATCAATTTGAGCAGTGGTGTAATGCGTATCGAGAACGGGCTTCACATCCTTCGAGGATCATTTTACGTTTCTTGATCGGTGAAGCAACAGCAGTGTGCCATGCATTTCAGGTGCTCAACACCAAGCAGATGTTACAGACTACCGTTCCAGTCTCCCAATGGAGGGCAACCACATTGGCTTTCGACTCCATGCAATATGCTGCATCAGGAAATGCACCCACCGTCTTCAATGTGATTGACTCCTCTAATCTGACTGACCATGTAGGCCTTTTGAATGTTCTTGTGGCTGCGTTGCCATTGCGCACAGTCGAGGGTATCATCTACACGGAATCCTTACTGTATCAGGGGGAGGATGCAACAAAAGAGTTCACGAAACGATTATTCGCTGATTTGGGAACGATGGCTTTACTTCTTGGTGTTGTTCCTATTGATTATCTATCAGGCTTCTTCTCCAGGTCCAACACCCATGAAATTGTAATGCATGGGCAATTTAATTTTCAGCAGGTCACTACGTGGAAATCGCCGAGTTCGGTAGAGCTTCCCGTTGATTGGCATCCAGCGTTGTTTTCGACAGTGCACAATTGGAACTTTTCTTTGGGACATGTATTGTCGCATGTTCCAAGATGAGGACTCGAAGAATTTTTGGGCAAATCACGGGAAAAACGACAGAGCTATTGCAATGTCCGAGTTGCTCAACTACAGCCGAGAAAGCTTTGTTTTATTCCTAAACCTCATTCGTTCCAATCTTACCATTTCCCCCCAAAATTGGGAGTCGGTAATGAATCGGTTTTACGTCCTCCAAGCCGGTGATACCGCAATGCCCATGGATACTGTGAATCGACAGGATTTTCATGCATTACTTTATCGATACAATTTATCTCCTTTCTCTCGAGCTGTCTTACCTCGAGTCGGAAGGTTTGAATATTGGCCGTTTGTGCCTCAGGTGGTGCGCGTCGCACTCTCTGTCCCCCACTCTGTGTTGGAGAACATTTTCACCGGGCCAGACATCGGCACTCCTGGTCTCCGATGTATTGTACAGGGTATAACTACTTTGAATGTTTTTTCCTCAGTACATGCTGCCTTTGGCCATGTTTCAACCGCAGGTAGCAGGACCTCTCCCCATATCTTGTTTGAGGAGGATAAAGAGGGCTGGAAAGGCAAATCTCCTCTAGTGCTTTCATTCACAATGCCCACCCAACTACTGGTAACTCTGGAACCCCAGCGAAATCTTCGAGTCGGCTTACATATCCACAGTTCACCCGGCCTTTCTAATATGACATGGGTCAAGAAACTAGGTCCTTTCCTTACTGTTTTCAGCGCTGAATTTCTGGATGACAGCCACGTCCATGTTGTCCCAGAACCTCAGGCTTCGAGTCCCTTCAAGAAGTCTCCTCTTGAGAATCCTACCACGGTCATGAGACCTACTAGTATGCTCCAACAAGTTGGAGCCTGCGGCCCAACAGCAGTTACTTTAGACGAAGAATGTGAGATGGCTACTTGGCTATCTGTGCGGATCAGCATTCAAAATCCCGATGTCATCGTCCAATTTGGTTCTCATGGTGCCACCCCTGATGTGAAGCAACTCTCTCCATCTGTTGTTAGAGTTGCTTTTTCCACTGTATCCCAAGATATATCTTTCCCTTATCCTGTAAGGGGAAGCGATCATAGACTGCGACTGGCTCGAAAGTCATTGTATATTGAGGTGGGCGCTGTTTACAAGTTTCAAGTCGTACTTTGTTTCTGATTTTCAGGTTCTTTAGCTCCTTGTTCCTCCTGCGGGACCTTTTCAATCTGGGGGTTTGCGGGTCAAACCTTTTCCATTAACGCTGTCTTCGACACATCACTCAGAGGTTCAAGCTTGGAACATACATTACATCAATCTTTCACGATTACCCACAGTCAATTGCTCACGTCCCAAGGGTTCTCTTAAATGGCTTGATGAGCATATTGGTTCTATGATGTCCACGAGAGAAAGGAAGATTCGGAAAAAGAAGGAAAAAGATGATATCATGTTTGTTAAGGATACTCTGCTCAGTATCATGGTCCGTGCTAGTGGCGTCCAAGGTGGAAAAGCAAAACATCTGTTTTCCCTCGTAGACCATGCAACAAACAACTCGGATACCCTCATCTTTGTCAGCGATTTAAGGTACGACCAGAGCGCATATACGATAGTATGTGATGCCTTCGTCCTTCCCTACACTGGTGACTTTGTGGACAAACATGAAAGGCCCTTCTCGAAACTTATAACTAAAGGCGACCCGGAATATGTGCACCTCATGGAGGGTGAGGTGTGTTCTTGGAAACATCTTATCCCAGCGTTTGTCGAACGCTGCCGTACTTCCTGGGTCCATGGTGAGAATTGCGAATACAAGGCTGCAGGCAAGATCCCTCTTACTGAAGAGATTGAGGAGATTGCTATCTGCAGCTGCGGTCAAGGCAAGGATGTTGAAGGGATGTTGAAGAATCCTTTGTGGCGTCCTTTTGCACCCTTCGTCACGCGGATTGCGTTGTCACCCTTGTTTGCGGTAACATACCTCGAGCCTATCACGAGAGACTTAAATGCACGTAGGTGCTGGATTTGTCGAGGAAAGGGTAAACCAAAGCTGCAGGAGTGTAGTAAATGTCACAAAGTCAGGTATTGTGGTCCTGTGTGTCAGAAGAAGGATTGGCCGGTCCACCGTACGCAATGCACCAAGAGCACTTGATGTTAAGTGGTTTGTACGTGACTCTGCGTGTTGTCGCTGTGTCTGTAAATACTAAATCTCTGTCTTCCATGACTCAATTAAATAATGTTCTGTATCAAACTAAAAGCAATATGGTGACGAAACTTGGACGAGACTTTGAGTTCAAGGGCAAGACAAAAAAGATATATCGAAAGTTCAGTAGAGAGTTCGTCGTTATTGAAACTCACCAAAACTCCCACCAGCACTACCAGTACCGTACAGCTCAACCCGCACACTGAGGGCGCTAGCTTCCGCGCAGAATAAATAAAAGTGTCTCCACCCGTCGAGCCGGAAATAGAATGCTACTTAATTCCGGGATCTTTGCGACACTGAGGAGCTAGGATAAATGCGGAGGACCTATTGAAGTATAAGGATATCCTGGTATCATAAAATGAGAGTTTTTTACCTCTTTGGATCAAAACAGATCTTTTACCTTGCTTTACCTGGTTTGTCTGTGAATGGATCATCTTCATTTTGCCCTTGTCCTCGTTCTATTACGGGGAGAATACGGTAGTAGTAGCAGCGAGTGTGGGCAAGGTCCTATTATACGGCATGATTGGTGGGCTCAGGATAAGAAAACTTTCCAAAACGCTCGTATCGATTACCTAATGCTTGAAGACGGATTTGACGTGACGCTGACTTTCTTTCTACTACGCATATACTCAAATATAGCGAACTCATTTGAAGAGTGTTAATGAACTGCTAAACAGACACTATCGATTGAAGATATTCTCGGCAGAAGGCACCCAAAACGCTATGTCCAATCGGCTCTACTCTGGTTCCAACCACCTTCAATCAAGGGAAAGGGCTCTGATAATAATTCCCATTCAAAAGTCTCTTTCTTCTCAAACTTTCGCCCTCAACGATTTCCAATCGTCGTATGGCTTACCAAGAACATCTGAATAGATTCTTCGTTAGAGGGTAAATACCAAATACCCTTGAAAATAGACGATATCTGCAAGATATCTGAATGCTGTGATGGCGTCGCAATGCCGATATTTTGAGCCAGAGCCAGCGACCAGCGTAACATTGCAAGCACAAGAGCCGCTGGCGTGAGTGCAAATGTGGAAGATGACTCGGATCCCTCGACACACAGTGTACTGATCATAATTTGCCTACACAACAGCTGAGGACGGACAGTTTTGCTAGGTATATAGTAAGCCTTCAAGCTTTAGCGCTTGAGCGCTGACGTTTAAATGGAAAAGTACTCCCATACTGGGAGAAAGATAGTGATTCTATCATCATGTCTGGCAACGACACTACTCTTCCACCTTTGAGTTTTTTTTGGGAAAGCTTCTGCCATCCCATGAGCCGATCATCTGCAAAAAGGCTAATCCCAGAAGGGCCTGACCGGGAATTGAACCCGGGACCTCGTCGAAAGACTCAAAGATAAGCGCTCAAAGCCCTAACAACGAATCATACTCCTAGACCATCAGGCCATGAAACAGGGTGGAAAGCTGCGAACTTCACGTGCTGCAATTGTTTGTTGCCTTCCTTCCAGGCCAGTGTTTTCAATGCAAAGATTTGAAACGTAGGACGACTGGCTTCGAGTTTGCCGGACATGGTCCTTGCTCTATCCAACTATCCGATTATCCGAGTACAACCGTATTGTACTATTCCATTGAGAGAAACGGTCATCCCTTCCGAGCTCATAGGACATTGCTAAACTCGATCGGCGTTGGCAAGCTCCACTCCTCCAGACCGTCATTTGGCAGCTAGAAAAGCCTATAAAGGTTGTTTCTCCTTCGCAAGTTTAACCAGAATCACCATCATTCACAGTCACAACATGATGAAAACATCCTTCCCTCTACCTTCTACGCGCTCCTTGCCAGTTCTAGGTGTTGCTCTGTGCTGCTCATGCAAACCCGAACATCGAGATTCCGTCCGCAGGATCGACTTTGGTCGCTGGTTCTGAGGTCACCATCATGGTTCAGGATACGGTGGAAACTTTTTCGGCTTCTTTTTACGATGCTCACTCACCGTACCATATTTCCAGGCGTATGCTCAACCTATTATCGAAGCCAGTCTTACAATTGGCCTGACTCCTTGCACGGAGGCCGCTTGCCCTGCCCCCAATTCAGAGATACTGCATGTGCTTTACATCGGAGGATTTGACCCTCAGAGACCCGTAACTCCTGTCTCCTACGACCCCGGCAGTGTTGCTTTCCAGGACTTCACTGTTACCATACCTTCTGATGCCGTTGCTGGTGCCTATACACTGGGAGTTTTTCACACTTACTGGGGTGAAAGTGCAAGTGGTTTCCCTTCTGAACCTTGTACATGTTATTGACGCGCATTCGAATATTAGGCATCGCTCTACTCCAGTCCCGGATCCGACAACGCTACTACGGCTGTCACTGTGGTTTCCGCTTAGATTACAAATTTGTCGTACTTACCTCGGTGTTTGAATCACATCGAAGAATTGTTCATTTCTTGGGACACATGTATGTCGATATGGGCCATCTTGGGCAAGACATGATCGAATGAGTGGTCGCTAGACTCATCGAAACGAACATCGCGAGAAAGTAACTGTCCACGGTGTAATACTAACCTCCTACTTCAAGCCGAGAGACTGAAGCTGCGTCTATAGGTGAGTATCTCTGACGATGGATCGATGTGCCCGCTCCTGGCCCGCTCTTTGTGGGGATATCTGGGCCTTGGGATATCCCAGCGCGCAAGTGTGAAATGAACCCGTAACGATGGGCTGGACCGGCATAATCCGATAATACGTACTCCTTTTGTCTTCTCAACACAGTCGTACACTGGAAAGCTCAAGAATCGACAGAACAGACCGATATACAAATGTTTTAGCAGAGACCAGCGCGAAGCGGAAGAACTGGATGCAGATATTCTCAGCGTGCTCGGAAATGTATGGAACCATGGTGGCGGGTCACTTTCTACATAACTGCATCAGCACAAAAGCGCATTTTATTGGGGTGTATTGTACGTCCGCTGTGTCCCCACCCGAACAAGTCGTTGACTAGTAGATAGACAAGTGAAAAAAAGGCTCTTCACGAATGAGACAGCGAGGTTTTGTAGCCTCAATGCATCTTTTGCTCATTGCAATGCAGATACATACACAAAAGCAGTTTCCCTTTCCGTCAAAACCGCGATTAACGATCCGTGCGTTTTCGATGTGTTTACCTACTTCCACTCAACTATTCACTCTAGTGAAGCTCATCATCTGTCACGGATACCCGAAGCTCTAGATATTATCTATCGCGCTCTCTCAATCTGCCCTTGGAACTGGTAAGTCTGGTAGCTCTGCTCGGAGCAGATTACTTTGTCAGAAGCTTATGGCTGATGGCCAAAGAGGAAGAAGGTTTCCAGCATTTACCCAGTCCCAAGGCCAATTCGAGACGACGTTCGAAATAGATCTCAATCGGATTGAAGATATCGATATCTATATGAAGGTCCTCACCGGACAATATTATTGGGCCTTTCGGCGCTGATTTTTAACTCGGGTTCATTTTCGGGATCACATTCGGCGATTCCGGCCTGATTTCGGTCTTGAACTCGGAGATTCAGATTCAGATTCGTTTTTATTTTCAGTTTTAATTTTCAGTTTTGTTTTCGGTCTCAGTCCAGTTTCTCACTTTGGTATTTACAATCAAGTTTGGGAGATTGATTGAGCGCTTAACAGGCGCTAAATAAATCTACTTCTTAATCACATCGTATCACGATCAATGGAGGCGGCGCAAACAATCTACGATAAGTTCGAAAATATCAAGCAAGAAGTCAATCGGACTTTGTTAACCCAGCGCGGTAACCCAGCAGCTATTCGACAGCAAAAGCGGGCATGCCTTGCTCTTTATAGACAAGTTAATGAGGTATATTACATTTTCCGAACAACATTGATATATATATTGAGTCTGTACAATAGTACCAAGTGCAGCTAGGTGGAAATTACAACGAATATATGGATTCTCTGAATCGCATGATCTCTACTCTTCAACAAGTTGGATCTGCTGCTTTAGATCTACCAGATGCTCCTCCCCCTGACTTGGAACAAACCACTCCTCATACTGATGCAGCTGGTACAAGACAACCTGGGCGCCCTAGAATACATGTGGACCCAGACACTCTTCAGACAATGACATCTGGCTCCAGAGTGACTCATGAAACTGTTGGAAGAATTTTCCAGTGCAGCAGCCGTACAATACGCCGCCGCTTGATCGAATATGGCCTCTCTTCATCTGGTCCCCCTGTATATGAGGTACAACAGGAGCCAGATGGCACTTTAACTCAGGTATACTATCCAGGATCTTCTAGTGATCTGTCTCTCCTTTCCGATGATGAGTTGGATACTCTATTAATCGATCTCAAGCATCGGTTTCCTTCTTTTGGAAGAAGGATGATAGATGGATACCTTATGCAGATGGGACAGCGTGTTCCTCGAAGTCGCATTGAATCCTCCTACACACGTCTATTTGGCCCATCAAACCGTACATTTGCTCAGCGACGCATTCCTCGCGGTGTTTATAACGTACCTGGTCCAAATTGGTTATGGCATCACGACGGTCAACATGGCAGGTTTCTGTAATAATTTTTCATGCTCACAGCTGAGGTATACTTGTAGGTCTCATTTGCTGGCGGATTATCTTCCATGGCTTTATTGATGGATGCTCTCGATTTGTTGTTGGTGTCCGTGCCAATAACAACAACTTATCATGGACAGTTTTGGAATTGTTTGAAGATGCTGCATCAGTTCATGGTTATCCCTGTAGAGTACGAGGTGATCATGGAACTGAAAATGTTCTGGTCGCCAGTCGAATGAATGAAGTTCGAGGACGTGGATCCTATATTTCAGGACGGTGGGTTTTTTTGACCTCTATTCCATGATAGCCTATTCTACAACTCTTTATGTACAGGTCTGTTCACAATATCCGCATTGAACGTCTCTGGGTGGACTTGACTTCAGGTTTTGGGAAAAAGTGGAAACTATTCTTTCGCTTGCTTGAAGTCCACCACGGACTTAATGTTGAAAATGAAATCCACATTTGGCTTCTTCACTTTCTCTTTCTTCCTCGCATCAATGCCGATGTGGACATATGGGTGTCTACATGGAACCATCATGTTATTTCCTCCAGCACTCACTCTTACCAGTCCCCCATTGATATGTATCGCCAGGGAATGATGGAACAAGGATTTTGAGGGGTTTTTGCATCTGTCGCTTCAGCTACTGAGGAAGAAAATGATAACGAAGAACATCATGCAGAATATGGTAATTAATCATCTTTTCTTCATTCATTTATTCTCATTTTTTGCAGGGATCGACTGGGATGAATTGGATCGTGCAAATATACACAATCATCATCATGAGCATAACGAGGCTGATATAGGACGCGAGTCGACAAATGTTTTTGATATAGGAACACCTGAGGATTTGTCGCATGTTGAGGTACCTCTTACTTCATGCCCTTTGACTGCCGAAGGTGTGCAAATGCTCACCAGCCATCTTGAACAACTTGCTTTTTATTCACTTCATGATGAAATTTCTTTGGTCAACCTATGGAACGCTGCCTCTAATTACTTACGGTCACAATCGACTTTAGATAGTTGACATATTAGATAGCCTTACAGGGTGTATAAATTCTAGCTTCAACTTGACCTTCATCGTCGAACATAAACATAAACTGGTATGTTATTGGTAGCATCATCACTAATTCAGCAAGTACATACAAGTAAAGCAGGCATTGGTAAAGCATAAAGCAGGCGTCAGTAAACCAGGCATTGGTAAAGCAGGCATTGATAAAAAAGGCATTAGTAAAGCTGGTTGGCGTAGCAGGAGTCAGTAAACGTGAGTCAGTAAAGCAGGAGTCGGTAAAGCAGGAGTCGGTAAAGCAGGAGTCGGTAAAGCAGGAGTCAATAAAGCAGGCGTAGCAGGAGTCAGTACAGTAAGCATTGATAAAGTAGACGTCGGTATGGTAGGCATCAATATAATAGGCATCAATACAGTGGGCATTGAGGTAGGCATCGATGGAGTAGATGATACAGTTATTCTATAATAAATGGCGCATGAAAAAATCAGTTGTACACTAAAAAGCTTCAGAGACGTACAAGTTTGAGTTATAATCACAATGAATTAAAAGTTGCAGTCTGTGTCAAAACATTGGACATCCACGTATCAAACAGAGTTTCAATCAACAAATCTGGACTTGTCCCTTGCAGAAGCTGCGTAAGGTGAGGGTTGTGGTGGCAAACATCCACCTTGGTAAAGCAGGAATGGAAGTGAATTTCCAAATCCCCCGTCGTCACAAAGGATAGAGATAGATCATGTCCCTCGGCCTCTGCTTTCAGCATTTTATCTTACAATGGAGAGTACCGTAATTACTATTACCAAAGATTTATTTACGGTCAGCTTCCATGTTCTCCCAACTAACTACGCATTGATGATATCGTAAACAATCACTATCTTACCGCCGCTACTCTCTTTTGA